CACATTTATTTTCAAACCGCAAAAAACAAACAGCTAACCAATTTTATCCGCAACGGCTTCCTATGACAACTTCTGCACAATAGCTTATTAATAAGCTGCACTACCCCAAACTGACCCGTAATGTTTACAAAATATAAAATAAAATATTTCGAGTTATATATGAATGATGTACTTGTAAAAAACACGACACTTGATAAATACATCAAGGCCTCAAAACACCTTTGAAATGTTAAAAAAGTTTAACATGAGGCCCAATCCACTTGAATAAACATTTGACACATTAACATGGAGGTTCTTAGGCTATCTTTTAATCCTCGAAGAAATTAAAGTCAATATAAAAAAGATTCAAGCATTGATCAACATGTCATCCCCCGAAATATAAAGAAAGTCTAAAAATTAGTTAATTGAATCACATTATTCTTTTATTATCTCAAAGTTGGGCAACAAGTTTATCACTCTCAAAGTTGTGCAACGAGTGTATCCCGTTCTTCAAACCTTATTACAAGCAAAGAGCTTCAGCTAATCGGATGAGCCTTGAAACCTCTACTTTGCGTTGTTCTCTATCCACGCTGCAAACAACCTTCTCAGTCAATGGACAGTCTCTACCTTCGCCTCTCTTCTCCTCCTCGTCTCATCGACCTGCACTTTTCGAACCCTAGATCAATCGCAAGCCATCATCTTAGCTCTGGATCCCCACCTTTTCGATGTCCATTATTCATTCACGCCCCAAAGATGAGTCGCCACTTCTTCCTCTTTGCCTCCGCCTCGTCAGGTGGCGCCGGAATGCTTCCAAGACCTTCTAAATCGTCTTCTGCTCCCTGCTTGGAAGCACCAAGCCATCTCTCACTGCTGTTCATCCACCTCGTGACATCCGCAGTTTTATTCGCATGTTTTCGTGCGCGCGCATCAGCCATAGGACCTTCCCTATCACTAACCACCACCGCCTCTATCCCATCAGGTCCACTGTCTCTGCTAAGCATATCGTAAGCATGGGATCTCCATTCAAGGATCCCATTTGAAATTTGAGCATAGTTTTATTACTTTTTCCAGAATTCACCTATATTAGTGTAAATTCTGCAACTTTCAGAAATAGCTTCGGCTGAGGGCTCAAGTTCTTCTGCTGGTGAAGTGGAGGATGAGGAATTTAGGGCTGCCTTTGAGCAGTGGAAGTCCAAAACCTTTGCCTTAACTGTTCCTCTCCGGATAGTTGCGCTACGGGGTTCGGTGCCTCCCTCTTGGCTTAAGGTTGGGCGACATTGCAATTCTTTTGAAAGAAAAATGGAAGAAGTCTTTATGTCACTGTTGTGTTTTACTTATTTGTGTTGTGTAGGATTTTGTTCAAGCGCAAGGAAGGAGGTTGAAGATGAATACTGAGCTCCGTGGAAGTCTTGAATCCATATATTCTGAGCTGAATTTGGCTTTTGATAAAGATTTTGTGGATCGTAAGTCTGCCATGTCTGCTGATCTTATTTCTTTGGGTGATTCTTGGCTTAGCATTGCCATTCAAAAGGGTTTAATTGATCCTATACCTAACATAGAAGAACAAGATTGGTTCAAGTCTTTAGGCAACAAGTGGAAGGTGAGATCTACTTAGTGTAATACTTCCCTTATTTTTTGAATACTCATGTGTGTGAATAAATTTAGGGAAATTTACACCCCTATCACACAATTCTTATGTATTTATATATATAGCACCCAATATTTGGTATTTAAACTCATAACACTTTGGTGTCATAAACTTATGCATGAAAA